TGCTCCAAGAGTTTGTATCCTTTGGATTTAACTTTATTTTCACAAAAGAATGTAAGTCTTTTAAATTGTGTTTCTCAGAGAATGACGACACAATTGTTAATACATGCGTAGGCTAATCACAAAACACATAATCAATTCGAGTTTTTGTGGATAAACAAGGCAATAAAATAGTGCGAAAGTTTCACATAAAACAAAGCAGTACTTTATTAAGGTTTCAACTGTAAAACTCAAGTTGAGAAAATGGCTAATTTGCATGATCATTCACCCAAGGCATTTTTACAGACATTTCTGTTGCAGTGGCAATAATATTCACATAGACTGATTACTGTTTTGATTGTGGCACCATGTGTTCTAATAAAACACTACATTATTTATGCACAGCAATGCAATATATGCAAAACATTCATGCACTTTTAAAGGTAATCTGGTTGTTTGTTTCAGTATGTTCCACTTGTAATAAAGCTATAAGGTTTTATCAGTGTGAAGCTAAGAATGTCTACATATAAAAAATGTTTTTATAAATTAAAAGTACACACCTGCATCTATACCCTATTTATACTATACCCATTTGTGTTACCCTTGTGGTATGTACAACAATGGTCAACATTTTCCACTAAAACTAAATCAAATGCCACATGCTATCTATGTCAATTATATTATATTTATATGTGCCAGTCATGTGTTACAAAAATATGTCCAGAACTGAATCAACAGTACATTCATGTATCTCCCAACAACCTTGGATTCCAAGATTAAACATTCATATTGCTGGTTCACCTATTTTGAAGTTAATCTAGATGTAACCTATGAAATATGTTATTATAATCACACACAAATATTGAAGTGTTATTGCCACTTTGTTGAAAATCATTGTATGCATCATAAGGGCTAATCCTGAAATATAATTTAGAAGTATGTTCATAGAATAAAGTGACCTTGAGTGAATACAACATGGATGAAACAATAAGACTGACCTTGAGTGGTGGTTAGCATCATTGTGTGCATATTACTAACTGCTTTTCTCATTTTTGTTGTTGTGAGCACAATAATTAGTGACAACATTCTGCATACAAAAATAATTTGGAATACAAATCTTTAATGATTCTTAAGAAAAAAGTTTTAATCATGAAAATACTGGATTAATTGTCTGCATGAGTAGATGAAATTACTTGCCCCAATGAACATAAATACAATTTATTAAATTAATATTAAGTGAATTTATTTTTCTAATAACATGACAGTAAATCTTAAATTCACAATTTGATTCAAATATATTAAAAGTTTGAAGAGAAAGTTGTCAATTTTGTGACCACGCTATGTATTTGCTCCATTAGTAGTAGCACTTATGGTTATGTAAATTACAGATGTGTATTTATTGCCAACATAAGTCAATATTTTGTTGATTTACTAAACAAACAAATGCAAATATGATAATTTATTTATATGCTTCGAATAGTGCAAATACAAGAATACAAATCTTAAGTAATAGACCCTTGTGTTCACTCTGGTGATGGTGTTCAATAATACAACAATAGACAATACATGCAGTTTAAAATATGAAAAGTAAAAAGAACTTTCTCAAGTAATAATTATAATCACATTCATTTATATATTCACAGTCTCGAAAAAAAAATATCATTAAAAACACATTTAATGAAATAAGTTGATTGATTTGCATGTAAACTACACCAGAATTGATATCACTTTATTTTGTAATAAAAACAAAATTATTTTCACCTCATTTGTCAGATTTTGAATAAAATTACTGGCACTCATTTGAGCACCAGTTAATATTTCAACTTATATTTTTGTGATAAAGAATGTATGGTGCAAATCAGTTTCAATATTTTTATTTATATTTATAAAAACAAAATTGGGATAATTTAAAGCAAAGTGAAATGCCATAATTTCAGCAAAATATTGTACAAAACTTTGCCTGTTTTTTTGGTCTTGATAAAAATTTTGGAAAAATTATGAAAAAAATAACATAGGTTTGTTGACAAAAGTTAAATTTGGTGCTCAAGGTGTTAAGATTATTAACACTTGCTAAAGTTATATATGTAAATAGTACAATATTTTCACCACACAAGTTAATGTTAAAGCATTAAAAAATGGATGTCATTTACTGAATGTTCAGAGTAGACTACAGTATACAAACAGTATATATTAGTATATAAATTGGAACAAATTAATATAAAACTAAATGCATTTTTTAATTGAGGTTAAAGGGCGACAGTCGTCGTGCCGAGTCCTGTTCGATATGGGACTCACAGCGACATATACAACGTTTATTTACATGAAATTCAAACACACGCTGCACGACGACCACCACGCTTTAAATATCAAGATATTTTTGAATTATGTTTTTTAAGTCTATTACGCAATTTTCTTCAGTGACTGTTTCACTAAATCATCAATTGGCTGATGGATGTAATTTGATAGAGTAGAGAAATCATGATTTACCTAATTAGCATGATTTTTTTCAATTCTAACTACTACTACATTAGGGTTATAGCCAGAAAAACTAAATGAATGTCAGTAATCAGTGACATGCTTTTATAAAATTATATACCATGTATTTACTTATTTAATACAAAAGTTTTTTAGATTATACTTCCTTAGAATGATAATCGCAAGTTTTTTCACACATGCGCATATTTTAGCACATATATACTGTCACGAGGTCACGGGTCAAATATTAGCCAAAATACCAAATAGTATGCAATACGTTTACTACCTCGTGTGCGGGTTCTTAACCAA